CCTCGCGGCGCCCACGGGTGCCCCGGGAGGACGGGGGCGGGGGCCCGAGCAGTCACGCGCCCCTCCCGCCCAGGTCGCGCTCTCAGCATGCGGGTCCCCGGGCCTCAGCCCTGCGCGCGCAGGCTGCTGCTCCTCCTGCCCGCAGCGCGGGGCGCAGGTGAGGGCCGCGGGCCTGGGCCCCTGCTGGGCGCCCCGGGAGGGCCGGGGACCAGGGAGGGACAGGGAGGGCCGGGCGGGACGCCGAGTTTGCACCAGAAGCCAGCAGTTCCTCCTTCCTGCATTTCACGTGCCGCTTTCTCTTCTCCGCCCGCTGCGCGCGCAGGCTGCTGCTCCTCCTGCCCGCAGCGCGGGGCGCAGGTGAGGGCCGCGGGCCTGGGCCCCTGCTGGGCGCCCCGGGAGGGCCGGGGACCAGGGAGGGACAGGGAGGGCCGGGCGGGACGCCGAGTTTGCACCAGAAGCCAGCAGTTCCTCCTTCCTGCATTTCACGTGCCGCTTTCTCTTCTCCGCCCGAGAGCACTGGCCCCTTCCCGCCTGGGGCTCTGTCCCCCTCACTGGGGCTCTCATCCTCTCGGTCTCTGTCCCCCTCTCTCTGGGTCTCTGTCCTCTCTCTGGGTCTCTGTCCTCTCTCTGGGTCTCTGTTCCTCTCTCTCTGGGTCTCTGTTCCTCTCTCAGGGTCTCTGTCCTCTTCTCTCTGGGTCTCTGTCCTCTCTCTGGGTCTCTGTCCCCTTCTCTGGGTCTCTGTCCCTCTCTCTCTGGGTCCTTGTCCCTCCTCTCTCCGAGTCTCTGTCTCTCATGTCTCTGGGTCTCTCCCTCCTTCTCCGGATCCCTGTCTGCCCTCTCTCTGAGTCTCTCTTCCTCCTTCTTTCTGAATCTCTGTCTCCTCTCTGGGTCTCTGTCTCGTCTCCCTCTCTCCGTCCCGCTCGCCCCGGGTTGGCGTGTCCTCTGGCTCAGGGTGTCTGTCCCCTCAGTCCGGCCTGCCCCTCTCTCCACAGCCAGCCACCTGGCCCTCCTGTACCACCTGACAGCAGTGTCGGCCCCTGCGCCGGGCACTCCCAACTTCTGGGCATCGGGCTGGCTGGGCCCCCAGCAGTACCTGAGCTACAGCAGCCTGCAGGGCCAGGCAGAGCCCTGCGGGGCCTGGGTCTGGGAGAGCCAGGTGTCCTGGTACTGGGAGAAAGAGACCGCGGACCTGCGCAACAAGCAGAAGCTCTTTCTGGAAGCTCTCAAAGCCCTGAAGGGAAAGGGTGAGACGTGGCCTCCGGGCCGGGGCGGCGGGGCCTGGCCCTGCCCTCGCTGACCTGTGTGGGGCACCCCAGGCCCCTACGTCCTGCAGGGCCTGCTGGGCTGTGAACTGGGCCCTGACAACGCCTCTGTGCCCACGGCCAAGTTCGCGCTGAACGGCGAGGACTTCATGACGTTCGACCCCAGGCAGGGCAACTGGAGTGGAGACTGGCCCGAGGCCGGCGACATCAGCAGCAGGTGGCAGGCGCAGGCCGAGGCTGTCAGCAGGGAGAAGACCTTCCTGCTGTACTCCTGCCCCCAGCGGCTGCTGGGCCACCTGGAGCGGGGCCGTGGGAACCTGGAGGGGAAGGGTGAGCCGTCCTGCACCTCCAGAGCCACTGCCCTACCCTGCCGCCATCCCCAGGGGTCCTTTCTACCTTGAGAGCTGCCTCCCTGCTGTAGCCCCCCATGGCTCCCCAGTGCCCCCAGGGCAAAGTCCAGCCTCCTTGCCTTGAAAGTGTATTAACAGGGCCAGCAGGTGGCGTGGTGGTTCAAAGTGCTGGAGTCACGTGGCTGAGTGGCTGACAGGCTCAAGTCCAGACCCAGGGGCTTGCTCTCTCACTTTCTCTCCATCTCTGTCTCCATCTGGTCAAACTGAAAATAATAACGGTGATAGGGACCAGCAGGTTGCATGGCGGTTAAGGCACTGGACACTTGTACATGGCTGACCACAGTTTGTGTCCTAGACCTGGTCACTTGCTTTTTCTCTCTCCCTCTCTGTGTCTCTCTCTGGTCAAATTAAAATAATTGAATGAATAAATAAAACTAAGTACATTTAAAAAATAACAATGATAAATAAAATTAAATAAATAGTTAAATTTTTTTTTTGTTTAACTTTATTTATTTACTTGTTTTAAATTTGACCAGAGAGGGACAGAGGAAGAAAGAGAAATGAGAAAGCAAGCTGCCAGGTCTGGGGATTCGAACCTCAGTCAGCTATGTGGGAGTCCAGCATCCTTAACCACCATGCCACCTGCTCGCCCCAATAAGTAATTCTTTAAAAAAAAGTTTATTAATAGAAGGTGGTGTGGACACTAAGGCAGCAAGATCCTACATGGCTGACTGAGCTGTCTGAGTCCCGCATCTGGTGGCTTGGAAACACACTGGGTGCATGCGTGTTTGTGCCCAAGATCCCAGGAGAAGCGTGGAGGAGAAGGGATTGTGGCATGGCCAACCCCTGAGGATGTGATTTCTCACTTTCCCCTCCTCTGTCTTTGTCCCTGGCAAATGCACACACCCCATAGCAAAAACTAAAAAAAGAAAGAAAGAAAGAAAAAAAAGGAAATAAAATAGAGGAAGAGAGAGCGATAGAGGAGGGGCACCGCCACCAGGTCTGAGGCGATGCACCCAGTGCAGCTGGCCTGGATCACAGGCGCATGCGTACCTGGTGTGCACGGGGAGGTCACCAGATGTGAACCCAGAACCCTCCCGTGAGGGTCGGCCTTGCAAAGCATCGTGCCTTCCTGTGGGACCACAGTCGGGCCCCACCGGAGGCCTGGGCTCCTGCGGTCTACATGGTGCAGAGCATAAGACGGAGGCCTCCCTGTTCTGACTCGGCCCTGGCCTGAGGAGCCTTGGGCTTAGGCCTGTCCGCTGCTGCTTCTCCACAGAACCGCCCTCCATGCGCCTGAAGGCCCGGCCGGGCAGCCCTGGCTTCTCTGTGCTCACCTGCAGCGCCTTCTCCTTCTACCCGCCGGAGCTGCAGCTTCGATTCCTGCGGAATGGGCTGGCGGCCGGCTCCGGAGAGGGCGACCTCGGCCCCAACGGCGACGGCTCCTTCCACGCCTGGTCCTCCCTGGTAGTCAAACGCGGCGACGAGCACCACTACCGCTGCCTGGTGCGGCACGCAGGGCTGGCCCAGCCCCTCACCGTGGAGCTGGGTAGGCCCCGGGGGTGCCCTCCCTGGTTCTGGTTGCCTTCTGTCCTCCAGGCTGCAGCAGTCCTCCCTAATCCCACTGAGCACCTCCCTAAGTCCCCCTGTCCTCCTCCTGCTGTCTTCAGCCCTCCCGGGTCTCACTGCCGCCTGCCTGCTGCTGCCAATACTCCCAAGTTCTTTTTTTTTTTTTTTTTTTGGGAGGTTTTTGCTATAGGGCATGTGTGCTCCCCAGAAAGACAGAAACAGAAACAAAAAAAGCCACCAC